TAATGCCTGTGAAATGTGAAGGGAAGGGAGCAGGAGTAGGCAGGGAGAGGGGAGTCTTCAGACTGCAACTGAGATGTAATTCCTGGGAAAGGAAAGGGGGAAGGAAGGAGGGCTGAGTGGGAAGATTCCCCGACTGTGATGTAGTTTCAAGAATCTCTCAGCCAGTTTGATGGGGAGCCCCAGCCGAAGATTGCCCATTAGAGGAGTCCCACTGGGGGCAGGAATGAGGCCCTAGCACCCCTGCTGTAATCTGCCATTGGCTGGGAGCTTCCCAGAAGGCAGTGTGGCCTTGACTTGAATGGTAGGGCAGATCCTGAAGCTGAAGACTGTCACTCCGGGCAGCAGATTCTCTGAATGGCACTTGTCCATGACTACCTTAAACTGTAGTCTACCTCTTATTTTCTCTTTCCCTGCTCCCAGACCCCGTGTTCTGGTGCCACTGGCCTGCTACCTGCCATACCACACACGACCAACTGTCCATACCACCTCCCATCGCCACCCCTGACCTTTGCTCCCTCAGATGTTTCTGCTTGGAATGCTGCTCGTTCCCAGCTGTACCCATCAAAATCCTAATACGTTTACAAAGCGCAACTCAAGTGTCACCACTCTGGGTCACCTTCCCTGATCCCACCATGCAGAATTACTTGCTCCTTGTGCCTGTGGTGCTGTTTGTAGATTAGTACTTCCCAGGTTGGAGTATCCTCTCAGATTCTTATCCCCTCAAACCTCAAAACCTAGCACAGTGTAGGCACATGGTAAATGTTGACTGAAATATTTCCCTGCTTTTCTCAAAGTGCCCCAAGGTTGCAGAACTCCAGCTCCTGGCGTGGTTGAAAGTCAGAGTTTTAAGACTAGGGCATGTCTTCCTCTGTTTATGTTTCGTTCACGATTTGGAAAGACCCCAAAGGTTTTGTAAAGTCATCATTTTAATTGTCTCTGGTAAGCAGATGGGAACTTTTGGGGGGCTTCCCTTTTTCAACCACATTTTTATGAGTTGGGCTTTTGCAATTCTGCATCACTCACTCTCCTTATAGGTGTAAGATGGGCCTTTGTGAAGCCTGGGATGAGATCTCCAGGTTGGATGAGTGATCATTTTCCAGTCGGTTGTTCATAGAGTGGAGGGAGCTGGGAGGGATAGAAATCATTTTTCTCTTCCTCTTTCCCACACCCACCAGTTAACTTCCCTGGGAGGAGACCTGTGGGAAGTGGCTGAGGGTTTCCTGGGCGGGCATAGGAGGGTTGACATCAGGGCTTGAGGATAAGGGTGGATGGAGAAAACAGAGGAAGAACCTCTGGCCCTCTCCATCTCCTTTAGATATCTCTTGGCTGAGGTCCCTCAGCTGAAGGAGACTAGGACTGTGGTGGCCACACCCTCGACTCTCCCATCAAGCTCTCCAAGCTGTTGGGCCCTCAGGGAAAACCCTGGCCGTGTGCCTTTGCCTTCTCTATCCGGGCGCTCGGTGCTAGTGGAAGCAGGGAGTTCCAGGCTGAGTTTGACAGGGGTTAGGAATTCTTGGAGGCTTCGCAGTGTCAGGAAGCCTGTCACAGACCCTTATCTCTAGATCCACAGGCTCATCTTCGGAGACTGTGAACCTACCTTTGCCCCTTAAGTGGTGTCAAACTGTGCATTTGGTGGAGACCCAGCTCTCATCAGGTTCTTTTTTTACTAGAAAAGTCTGTGATCCAAACCCTGCTTTAACCCAAAGAAGAAGAACCTTTCTAATAAAGAAGAGAGGATGTTTTTCTACAAGAGACAGATTCCTGTTGGATTGCCAGCACTGAGGAATGGAGACTCCCAGGGGGATTCTAGAAAGAAGCCCAGATCATCACTTTCACACTGTGATTGTCCCCCGGGAACTTTGTGTTCCCCTCCCCTTGTAATCAGAGCTTCTGGGTTAGGGACCATATTGATTCAGTTGGCACAGATCCAGAGAGCTGAACTCCTGAGAGCTGGATCGAGTAGTCCGATGCCCACCTCCAGGAGGACAATCCAGAGACAGAGCAGACCCTGCAGGTGTGTGAAGGGGTAGAAGGGAGCTGTGTTGACCCTGGTGGGCATGGAATGTCTATGAGAATAGAATAGTCCTAGGTTTTTAAATGAATTCCAGCATAGTCATTCTAAAACCTCCTAAATACCAAGTTCTGGGTATATTCTGGTCTCTATTTCTGAATACAGTTCCAATGTTCTCAGAAACTGTCAGGAGCACGTGGTGCACAGCAGTGGACAACGAAGGAAAAGAAAACCAGAAAAGGGGGAAACTGCATAAAAAGAATCTTCTCAAATGAGAGTAAAATACTGAATTCAGTTACTAAAGCACTGAACTTGAATGTGACAGCCTCTTATTTTGACAACCCTACTACTTCTATTTATTTAAGTGCTGGCCACAGTTATAAGTAGGGGACCATGTCTGTTGAGACTTCCCAAGGGTTACATAAACGGTTTGGATGGTTATATATATTTTTTAAACAACAGTTTCTGAAAACACTGAAAAAAAATCCCACTTATTTCACAGTCGGGTGCTGAACCAGCCCTGGGAGTCCCTGGGAGGCCTTGCAGAATCACTTCCTCCTGCTTGCAGCAGGGGCAGGGCCCTGGCTTGGTCAGGAAGCTCAGAGACAGTCTGGGAGGAAGAGTTGTGCATTGGGAGGGGGGACGAACCCTCAGATTGCTCCTGCTAAGGACAGCTGCATCTCGTCCTCAGCAGAGAGCAGGGGCCCAGGATGCAGCAGACGTAGGTCTTCTGAGGGCTCAGCCCTCGCAGGAGGGAGCATGTGATCCAGACAGGCTCTTCCAATTTGAGATTCGATATGACAGTAGAAGCAGGGCTCCTGAACCCCAGTGTCAGGGTGAGAATTTCCCGTCTTTCTTAAGGTCTTAGCAGCCTCCGTAGCCTTGAGGGTTTCTCAAACCTGAGGGCTTGAGCTTCATCAGAGAAATGCCTAAGTCTCTTTTGACACATCCTAGTCACCAACTCTTGTCCCCACTCTGAAAAACCATGTAGACAGAAACGCTGGCCTTCTGCCCCAGTGGGAGTGGCTTCAAGGAGAGGCAGCAAGGAGGCCCTCCGCTCCAAAGTCATTGTCCCCTCATGTTTCAGCGGCACCTCAGTTTTCCCATTAGAAATATATTTTCAGTTTCTCACTCTCCTTCCCCAGGTGTTATTTTGGACATGCAGTTAGCTAAAGATGCATTACTCATTAGTGTAAATAAACTTTATCAAACCGATACACTATATTTAAAGAGGGGCCGGTCCAGTGGTTCTCAGCCTCTTTGAGGTCACACACCCCTTCTAGAATCTAAAAAACTAGATGGGCCCATTCCCCAGGAAAATGCCCAAAGATCCGGGATTTTGCATACCACTGATGGGTTTCAAAGACCCCTTTGACCCTATCCGGGAGTTCTGAGTCCTTCTTATGAGAGGATGGTAAATGGGCAAAGGTGGTAGTGAGGGGTGGGGAACGGGGACAGACCAGGAACCTGGCTGCTGCTAGAGATCACTTTGTGGTTTTCCCCAAGGCCAGTAATGTGAACATATCAGAAATGAATGTCTGCCACAGGCCGTAGTCACTGCGCCCCCCAGAAAGGAGGTATGCTCCGCCAGCAGTGATGCTGGGGACTGTGCACCGCATCTCTGAGCTCCCGGGGCCATGTGGATGTATCTCAGTGAAGCTGGACGGGGAGAGAACGGTGCTGGCTTTCTGCTGGAGGAGGCAGAAGACAACTTGTGTCATGTGGTGGGTTGGAGTCCTCTTGGCAAGGGGACAGGGGCTAGCAGCCTGCCAGCCACCCCCCACCCCCCAGCATGGGGCTTGGTCACTCCAAACTACATGTTCATAACCTAGAGTCTGAGATCTCTTTTCTTTTCTTCGGGAAAGTCATTTTAAGAGGCAGCTTGTGATTCCCTGGGTGTTGTTCTCTAACTGGGGGAAACATAGGGGAAGTTTTTGGATCCAGACTTCATCCAACGGCATCACAGGGGATTTTGAAAGCGAGGCAGCATAGTGAAACAAGCGCAGTGACATGCTGCAGTCCCGGGCTTGCTCGCGAAGCTCCTCTTGTCTGTGGTGACTCAGGGCGGGGAGAGTTTCCTCTTTCCAGTCAGCTGGACCAGTGTTAACACTTCTCTCTGCAGGCTCTGGCACAGAGGGCCGGAGCAGGGCCTTTACTAAGGGGAGTCAGCGGGGCTTGCGGGCTGGACCCAGTTTAGCACACATGAAAGGAGGTGGTCCTTCTCTTGACCCGTCAGCCAGGGTCTTTCTCCCCCACAAAACTATCCCAGCACCTGGCATAACACCCCATCCAAATTGGGCACCAGGCTCACCTCTCATCTGCGTCATATCATAGTACAAAGCCCAGGTTTTTCAGGTCACACTCAGGCAGGCCCACCATCATGACCAGATGCCATCCTTCTCTGACACTCACCAGAGACTTTCCCCTTCACTTCTTTGTGCTTTTAATATGAGTGATTTTTTGTTGTTACTTCTATGTTCACTGGATTTCTTGATGTTGAAATAAATACTCCTTAAACAGGACATAAAAAGCACTAGTCATAGATGAAAACATAGATAAATTGACCTTTCATGAACTTTTTTGTCCATCAAAAGTATTATTAAAAGTGTGAAAAGGTGCCCTGGCCCCCATGGCTCGGTTGGTTGGAGCGTTGTCCCGCACATCAAAAGGCTGTGGGTTTGATTCCTGGTCAGGACACATACCCAGGCTGAGGATTCGATCCCCAGTTAAAGCACGTGAGGGAGGCAGCCGATCAATGTTTCTCTCTCACATTGATGTTTCTCTCTCTCTCTCTCCCTCAAATCAATTTAAAAAACAAAGAAAAAAGTGAAAGGCAAGCCACGGACTGAGATTGTCAGCAACATACACGACAGAGGACTTGCATCCAGAATGTTCAAAGAACTCTTACAAGTTAATAAGAAAAAGACAGACAAAATAGGTAAGTGTCTGGAACAGCAACATCTTCAAAGTGGATATCTAAGTATCCAATAAGCAAATTAAAACTTATATGATACCTCTATACCTCTATGCCCCCAAAGGACCAAAACTTTAAAGACTGAGAATACCAAATATTGGCAAATCCTTATATATTGCAGGTAGGAGTGTAAATCGGTATAAACTCTTTGGAAAACTGTTTAGCAGTATCTACTAAAGCTAAGATTGTACCCATTCCATAGACCATCAGTTCCACTTCTACGTATAAACTCAAGAGGAATGAGTGCAGATACCCACCAGTGTTTGTAGTGTTTTTATTTATAGAAGCCCCAAAGTGGAAACAGCTCAAATGTCCATCAATAGAATAGATAAATAAATTGTGTCATATCCATACAATGGAATACACCACAGCACTTTTAAAAAAGAACAAATCATGGTGACACCTAATAACATTGATGAATCTCACAGAGATGTTGAGTGAAAGAAGCCAGGTAGCAAGAAAGTGCATATTATATGATTCTAGGCTCCTAGAGGATGGGACCACACCTTTTCTCTCTGAAACCTCAGTGCCCAGAATATTTCCTGTTGGCGGGCCCTCAGTAGATGTTTGTTGACATCTACTCGTGAAGTAAGACATGGCCTTTACTTCTGAAGGTGTTTTCAGAGTAACATTTGTGTGTGTTAGAGTGGAATCAGTCTGGAAGACAATTAACAAATGATTGCAGTTCACTGTAAAATGAAGCAGAAAACGCATGCTGTAAAGAGAAACAGAGTCAGCCAGTGTGGCTCAGTGGTTTAGTGTCAACCCGTGAACCAAGAGTTTACTGGTTTGATTCCAGGGCAGAGCACATGCCTGGGTTGCGGGCTTGATCCCCAATAGGGGATCCCTCATCGATGTTTCTATCTCTCTATCCCTCTCCCTCACTCTCTCTAAAATCAATTAAAGAGACATATTTAAATGAGAAGCAGAAATGAAGCCCTTTCACCAGAATAGGGCTGTGGGTTCCAGGAAGAGGCATTCGCAGGTGGTTAGGGGATTAGGAGGGCCTCCTGAAAGCAGTCGTATTGAGCTGAACTTTGAAAGATGGTTGAGATGACAGCAGGCAGAAAAGGCCTGAGAAGGGGTCCCAGGCTCAGGCAATGGCATAACCAGGTGGTTCTCAAGCTTTGGTGCATGTCTGAATCACCTGGAGGATTGGTGAGAACAAAGGTGGCTGGGCCCCACCCCAGAGCCTCCTCTGCCTGATTCAGCAGGTCTGGGGTAGTGTCTGAGAATCTTCATTTCTAATAAGCCCCAGGTGGTACTGATGCTGCTGGTCTGGGAACCACACTTTGAGAGCCACTGGCTTAAGCCAGAGCCAGCTGGTCCAGGCAGTGGCATCTCGCCTGAACCACAGTGTTAGATGAGAGAAGTTCAGAATGGGAGGGGGTGGACAGATGGAGTGGGCCTGGAGTTCTTTAGCTGCTGTCTGAGGATTTTAGAACTAATTCTATAGACTTAATTTAGGGCCACATGGATGGACATGTGTAATAGCTTGTCTCCAGATATCACACTCCAGGGCCTGGGTACCCTCAGCCTGAAGCTTAAGGCTATACAGATGTGCTAGTGATAAACACACACCAAGTTTGGCCTTGTAGAGACAAGCCCCCACCACAGCACACCTGCAGAGGAAGACACCATTTACCCTGATGGACAAATAAGGATTGAAGAAAGGCATTATTTTAATGCAACATCAGGACCATTGTAGCAATGTGATACGTGCATGCGTGGGGATGGCAGGGGGAAGAAGACTCTCAGATCGACCCTTCAGGCAAAAGCAGCAGTTTTACTCTCAACAAAGAGATCATTGCTCTGAATTCTTTCTCGTGGCCACAGCCCTCCCAGACTCCCAAGGACACCACACACACGCCCAGTCCATTTCCATCGCCAGGGAGACACCTAGATCCAGATTTCCCCCAATGGTCTCTGTTTGGCTAAGGAAGGAAGGGAGTTAGTGGCCTGGGTGGGCTTTGGCTGGGAGGCACACTCTGTGAATGCCACAGGTAAAGAGTTCCCAACCCTCCCTGGGGACATCCTGGTCAGGACACTGGACCAGCAGGGCTCGCCCTTTCTCACATGACACAGGCACAAAAAGCAGATGCCATCTGTCATCCTGGGACTGGCTTCCACGGAACCTCCAATAAGCTACACTTACTGAGTATCAACTCTCTGCAAAGTAATCTGCTGGGTGTGGTAGAGAAAGAGATGAATCAGCCTCAGACCTGCCCTCCAGAAACCTACAAGTCAGTATGGGGGAGGGTGACAGAGGCCATTCTTGATCATTGAAAATGCTCCCACCTGATCCCTTGTTTTCAGCTCTGCATCCCTGGCTTAGGTCTAGCTGCCTCTTCTCCCTCACTTAGCAATGCTGGCAACCAGAGGCTCTTACTCACTCAGCAGGTTCTTGGGGTCACAGAGATGAGTAAATCTAGATGCTTGGGGTCTGGTGAGGAGCTCTTCCTGTCCCATGCTGGAGATAGGTCAGTCTTGAGCAGGTACCCTTAGCCCACTACCTCTGCTGCTGGGACCGTGACCATAAACTGTGGGCTGAGGAAACCTGAGTCCACTTGCTGAGTGGGCTTCACATTGACAGAGGGAGCCTGCCCCCAACCCCACCTCCACCCCACCCCCTTTGCATCAGCCTGTCCCAGACCAACCCAACCACAGGCCCCCAGGGGGCCACAGTTGCTGCCTGCATGATGGCCCGTGGGAGGATGATATGGGGCTCAGGAGACTGCTGGCGTCCCGCTGACTCCCTGAGGACCTCCTTCCTCCTGGAGTTCCGCCTGCCTTTTCCCTTAGGGCCACAGGAACTGGCTTGCTCCCTCCTCACCCTCCACTCCCATCTGCAAGAGAATCACCTAAAAGAGAGCAGGGGAGCCAGGCCGGGCGTGGCTCAGCGGTTGAGCGTCGACCTAGGATCCAGGCGATCGGGGTTCGGTTCCCGGTCAGGGCACATGGTCAGGTTGCAGGCTCGATCCCCAATGACTCTCTCGTCATTGATGTTTAGATCTTGCTCTGCCACTCCTCATGTGTGGATTAAGGGCAAGGCACCTAACCTTTCTGAGTCTGTTTCCTCATCTGTAGAATGGAGATAAGGACCTTGCTTACTTCATAGTATTGTTCAGAGGCACAGGGGATACTGGGCAAAATTCCTGTCTCTAAACTGCCCTGAGGCCTAACAGAGAAGTTGGACAAGCACGCACACAGTGTGATGTGTACCATATCAGAGGCATGTTTGGGGTGCAATAGTGAGAAGAGCGGAGGCAAACTAACTCTAACAAGGGGAGACTGCAGAGCTTCCTGCCCGGGCCGTGGGGCGTGTGGCAAGGCGAAAGTAACTATTCAGAGCTTTAGACTCTAGTGTTTGTTTAACACCAGACACTGTGTTAAGTATTTTACCCATGGTTTATTTAGTCCTCACAATAAGCCCGTGAGATAGGTGTTATCATCCCCATTTTACAGATGAGCAAACTAAGGCTGAGAAAGGATGGTGCATTGACCTGGTATTTATTAAGCACCTACTACGGGCTAAGTGTTGCAGACATAACAGTAAACGACGCAGACCCAAGTCCCTCCCTCACGGAGCTTTCATTCCAGGAAGTCACTTGCCCAAGATGAGTCTGGAATGTTCCAGAGCTGAGATTCAAACCCAAGTCTGGTAGCCTCCTGGACTTGTGCTTTTCCCACCTTACCCCAGAACTCACTGCCCCTCAGGACATTGCTCCCATGGGAGGCACAGAAACTGTCTCAGAATTCAGGAGCAAGGCTGGGCCAGGGAGAGGAGAGGAGCTGCCATTTCTGTAGAGCCCTGTGTTTCCCCACAGCCTTGCCCAAAAGAAAGGTTGAATGCCTGACCACTCAGATGTTTTCCCCGGGGAGGGATGGAGAGAGGAGCTTGCCCAAGGGGGATTTCAAGGGAGGATAGGGGTGCTGCCTGCGCTCAGCTAGAGGGTGACACCCTCTTCCTGGCTGAGGTGGGGAATCCCTTTGGATTTCACTGGGGTTTATGGGAGGGGCCTACCGGTTTTCTACTTCTCAAGCCCTCTAGGGAGGAAAACAGGACCAGGGTAAATCAAAGGATTAAATCAGCCTCTGGCAACTGAGTGACCTCTGGGCTCTGTGAGGTCTCAGCTCAGGTCTGCATTGCCTTCAGCCTCAGGCTGCCTCTTGATCTTAGGACACCTGTGGCACTCCCACTGGGCAATGACATTTTCTTTTAACACAAGGAAACAATCAGAGATTTGCAAGCCTCCTCCACTGAAAAAAAAAGATACAGGATTGTTTGTTATAGCATTTACTCATAGTAGCAGTCACCTGGAAGCTATCTAAATAGCCAATGTTTGAGTATTAAATAAAATATGATAAAAGTATGCATTCAATGGAATACCATGCAGCCATTGAACCCACCATGTAGGAGAAAATTAAATGACATGAGAAGAGTACTCATAAAACTTTAGTCAAAATTCATGACTAAAACAATATACACAAATAAGAATGGATAGCAGGATCCCAGTTTTAAAAATTATGTCTATATGTGTACATAAACAGTGTCTCGAAGGGTGCGTACCAAATGTGGACAATAGTTCTCTCTGGGTAGTGGAACTGTAAATGACTTGTTTTCTTCTGTTTTCAATATTTTCCAGTTCCTGTAGTGAACATACAAGTCTTTTATAATCATGGAGAAAAAATCCCCACAATGTATTTTAGAGATAGAAGAAAGAGAGAATGTCATCTTTTGGCTCTGTACTTAGATGGCCCTAGGTCACATTCAGCCTGGGGAGATTTGGAAGCCCCAGAGTACTTGGGTAGAGGCCAGCCTGAGGAGAATTAGCTGGGCATCCCTGTCTTTTTTTTTTTTTCCAATCCTCACCCAAGAATATTTTTTCCATTGCTTTTCAAAGGAAGTGGAAGGGAGAGAAGAGAGAAACATTGATGTGAGAGAGACACATTGATTGGTTGCCTCCTACAAGTGCCCTGACCACTGGGGCCGGAGATTGAGCCTGCAAACGAGGTACATGCGTTTGGCAGGAATTGAACCCAGGACCCTTCAGTCCGAGGGCCAGCGCTCTAATAACTGAGCCAAGCTGGCTAGGGCTAGGCTTCGTTATCTTAATGTCATCTCCCAGAGAGGCTACCAGACCACACAACCTGGCTGAAGGAGGCCCCTCCCACACTTTTTCTCCCTCTTTCACCCCATTTTATTGCCTTCATTCCACTTATCTGCAGCTGAAATGACCAGCCTGCTCATCTGTTTCCTTTGTGGTTATTTGTCTCTTCCACAGAAGGAGAGCCCACGAGAGCAGGGCCCTGCCTGTCTTACTCCCTCTGGCTTTCCATCCGGAGAAGGGGCCCTAGTGAGATCTTGGTGTGTAAGGACCGGAGCAGCCCCAAGTTGTGGGCATGGATCCTAAGGCTACACGTGACAGTGAGAACATGGGAATAACTGCATGGGCGTCTAGAAATAGGCAGAGAGCCAGCTCATGGGGCCAGAACTGCATGAAACTCTGCTACCTGGAGCACCTGGTCCAGCTTGGTAACAACGGCTGCCATTTGCAGGTGTTGAGGAGGTGCCAGCTTCATTCTTTACAGTTTATAACTGAGTGGGAGCCATTTACCGTGTCTTCCCTTTCCTCCCTGGAAGCAGACCAGCGCCTCTGCTGCGGCCAGCCTGCTCTGCCCTCCAGCTCACAACTTCAGCTCCTCTCTTTTGAACCGGTTGCAATCAGGCTCTCATCCCAACCGTTCATTCTACCGCATCTGCTCTTGACCAGGATTACCTGTGACTCCAAGATGCTGAATCCAGCTGTTAATACCCGGTCTTTGTATGATTTGACCTATCACAGTGGATTGCTCCACCCTCCTTGAAGCCGTTTCTCTCCTTGTACTTGCTGCTCCTTCTTAGTGTCCCTGGCTGAGTGAGCGAATGGAGCTTGGTCCTTGGACAGCTTCTCTGTTGTCCGCCACCCCGTTGGTGATCTCATCCTTATAAGCTACCTGCTGAGCACTCCAATATCTTCATTTCCAACCTGGACCTCTCCTCTGAACTCAAGGCTCAGGTATCTGCCTGCCTGCAGGCCTCTCCACTTGAACATCAAAAAGGCATCTCATACGTAACGTGTCTGAAACTGAGTACCTTATCTCCACCTAGCATGCTCTGCCAGCTGCTCCTGCAGTTCAGGAACGGCAGTCCCATCCTCCCATTTGCTCAGGCCAAACATCTCAGAGTCCTCCTTGACTCCTTTATTTCATACCCACTTCCAATCCATCAGCAAATCCTGTTGGCTCTACTTTCTGGAATCCGACCATATCTTAGTATTTCCATGCTACTTCTCGAGTCCACGCCACCATCGCCTCTTGCCAGGATTTCTGCCTGTGTTCTACCTGTGCTCCCCAATTTATTCTCAACACAGCATCCAGGTCACTTGTTAAAATGTGCGTCACATCATGTCACTTCTCTGAGTAAAACTTCCCAGTGGCTCCTATCTGAGTTGAAGCTCAGGTTCATACGGGGCCTTCTTTTAATTCCCTGCATACCCTGGAACCTCTCACTACCTCTGTGATGTCCTGTCTTTCCTCCTCTTCACTCACTCACAACTCCAGGCACACCACCCTCCCCACTGATCTTTACCACGTCCAGCAGGCTGTCACCTCTGAGCCTTTGCACATTCTGTTCCCACCATCTGGAAAGGTTCTTTCCCATAACTTCTCAGGGTTTATGTCCTCATTTCTTTCATGTCTTTATTCATAATTCACATTCTCAGATGTCTGAGCTTCCCTGGCCACACTATTTAGAATTCTGACACTTCTTCCCACCTCCTACTCCAACACTGCCTCCCCATCCTGCTTTATTTACCTCTTCCAACTACTAGATATTTATTTACTTACTTACTTATTCATTTATTTAGTTAGTTTTATTTGGTTGTTGGTCTCTCCCAGTAGACTGCAAGTTCCATGAGGGTAGGAGGTTTTGTCTGTTTTGTCTACTGTTGTGACCCCAGAACCCGAGGACAGTGCCTGGCATATAGTAGGTGCTCAATAAATACCTGATACGTGGTTATATGAATGAAAATGTATGAAAAGACCACTTGCTCTTTGTACTAGGCCTTGAAACAAGATGGAAAGAGCGCTGGGGTTCCTGCCAGCATGAGAGCATTAACAGGCTACTGAGAAAAGAAATGCCCCAAGTAGAGAATACCCTTGTAGAAGTCACGGTGCCTATATCTGCCTTGGGCCAGAGTGCAGCCAACTCATACCTCAGTGGCTTCTGAAGAACTTGCACAGATGAGCAGGCTTCCTTTGCCAAAGGCCCGCCCTCAGGGCTCTGCCTCAGTCATTTACTCCCTCCCTTTTCTTTTTCTTAGGTACCAGAGTTTGCAGCCTACTGAAGGAAAACAGCATCAAGGTAAGAAAACAATAAGACTGTGTCTAGCTTGGGGCTTCTCAACTTAAAAGGGTTTGGAAGGTATTCAGGGAAGATCAGAGTGCTGAAGTGTTGGCAACTGGATAAAGTGAAGGTCCAGGGGACTTGTGTTGACTTCCTGGATAGAGCGTGGGTACTGGGGACAGTGAGGACAGCTCATGTGGAGGAGTGAATCATCAGGAGTAGCTGTGAGAGCCAGAAGGACAGTGCCTTTCGTGGGAAAACATGACAATCTCCCCCAAGCCAGTCAGTTGTGAGCCACAGCCTGGGCCTCCTGCCCTGCCTCCCTCCAGGTCTTTTCCCTACTCGCTCTCTCTGGAGGTTCAGCCCTGCCTGCTGAAGTCAGGGCAGGCCTGGGCAGAGTGGCTGGGCCACGCTGTGTGCGCGTGTGTTTTTAAGCATATTGGTTTGGTTCTAGATCTAGAGAAACATGCTAGGATGCTTCCAGCATAGAGGTTCTCTGAGTCTGTGTTAAATCACAGTCCAAATTTCAAAACCTGAAAGTACTCAGTAAATAATGGATGCGAGGGGATGTGCACCGATGTATACTGCTGATGTGATTAGAAAGGCACAGCTTTTAAAAATGTATCTAGCCTTTGACCAAGCAATTTCACTTTCTGGAGTTGACCTTAGGAAAATTATCACATTTGTGCAAACGTATATGTACAAAAATATTTATAACCTCTTTGTGATAGAAAAACAAAAAAGGAAACATCAGAAAGCCCAACAAAATGGAATGAGTCATTTAAAATCTGGCACATTGTCCTGGCCGGTGTGGCTCAGTTGGTTGAGCAGTGTCCTGTGCACTGGAAGCTGGCCAGTTCGATTCCCAGTGAGGGCACAGGCCCAGGTTTCGGGTTTGATCCCCAGTTGGGATGGGTATGGGAGGCAACCTATCAATATATTTTTTTTCTCTCTCTCCCTCTCTCTCTCTCTCTAAAAACCAATAAAAATATAAAAAGATGATCAATAATATCTGGCACATCCACACGAGAGCATGCCATTCAACAGAATGACCAAGATATATATTTATTGACAAGAAGGATGTTTGCATATATTGCTAATTTTTAAAAAAAGAAAAAGGAAAATGGAAAAAGCTTATAAAACATTCCAGGAAACTAGCTTTGGTCTCTGCCTCGAGAGTGGCAGTCCAGAGCAGTCTCTTGACCTGCGGGGACTCAGGCCAGTGATGTGCTGCTCTCCCTAAGCCACAGCTTCCTGCCTGCAAAAGGGCAGAACACCCGCCTCACAGAGTTGTGAGGATCTGGTGGGATTAACAGGGCTAAAGCCCCCAGCACAGGGTCCAGGCACATGGTGAGTGCTCCACAGACAGATACCCAGATGAGATGTGGACCAGTAGTATATTTACCTGTATATAAACCTGGAAACATTCTGGAAATTTATAAACAAATAGTAGTTCTATTTGGCTGTTGGAATTATGGGCGATTTTCAACATTTTCTTATTTTTCTACAAGGAATACATATTACTTATATAATGGTGATGCAATAAAAAAAGGAAGTAACAATTGAAAAGGTTAAGCAAATAAAAGAGAAACGCTGCAGTGCACTTGGCAGGCAGGCTGCCCGAGCAGCCCCTGGGGCAGAGCCCTGGAGGACTGAGGTAGAGAGGCAGGAGGAGCAGAATGGGAAAGGCAGTGGGTGAAGGGAAAGAATGAAAAAAACAGTTAGGCCTGAGGGCCGGTGCCCAAGTGGTGGACCTCAGAGGTGAGGCTCAAGGCCCCAAAGGCAAGTTGCGCACTTTTGTCCCTCCTGGGTGCACCCCTGATAGGAGATGTGGTGACTCAAGGCCCACCTGTTCCATCAGATGACAGCAAGTGTGTGCGAAGTCACCTTCCACAGCTGAGACCACCTGCCTCCAGCACATCCCAGGAGGGGCCCTGAGGCTCCAGCCCTGGGCTGGGCTCCTCACCACCTTTAGAAACCCAGCTTCTTGTCCATGTCCAGAGTAGGAAAGGCAGGGAATCCCAGTTGTTTGGTTTTGGGGGGAAAAATTATGCGTGCTCAGAGACTGAGATTATCTTTGCTAAAGTTTATTTAACACAGGTTCACTGAGGAAATTGCACAAGCCAATAGCATACAGGATAATGTCTCTTAATAAGCCAATAAAAATAACATATTCCAAAGCAATGATGGATTAATTACACTCTTGTTCCAGACGAGAGGAGATAAAAGGGGAAAAGTCCAAGTTTAATTGAGGTGTACCTTTATGCTTAGCCGACTGAGAGCTGACATCCAGCTGCCAGAGTGAAAAGTAAAAGTCCCTGTTGCGAAGCACGTTGCTAGGCGATGATGGCGCCAGTTGGAAGGGCAAGGTGATCTCCTTCTAGGGCTTTCACCACTGCCAGTAAGCCACCTTTACGGAGGGAGGAGCTTATGCCCCAAAGGTCTTCAGAGAGGTTTTTATGTCAGCAAAGAGTCAGTCGCCTTGCCCAGATGAAAACTCCTATTTCTCACAAACCCACAGTATTTAAGGTCTGAATGTCCACTTGCCACAGTGGCTTTTCCACATGTTCTTATGGATGAGCCCCCTAGGCAGGGCTTCTCCGCAGCTGAGCTACTGAGTGCTTATCAAGGACAACAAATGATGACATCCTGACACAAAGTACTTCATTCTTACATCAAAACCACTTTTCTTCTCAAAGCAACTGTTTTGGGTCTTTGCCATAAACAGGTGAATTAAAACAACTTCAGCTGAGTCGTAAACAAGTGGATTTGAAATTGTATCAAACAATACACAAGGCTAGTAAATTCCCAGAACTCATTCTAAAAGGATGACTAGCTCCTGTCTTCTTTGGCAGCCTGGTATGGTCTATACTCAAGAGTAGGAACTCCCGAGAAAATACAACCTGCTGAGAAAGAGAGCCAGGGACCACCCAAGGGCTGCTGTGTGGGCTCCCATCCCCACCCCATGTCACCCAGTGATGTCCAGAGAAACTCTTCCATATTAACAAGGTTTATGCCTGATTGTGACAGTGTATTGAACGTTCTTGGGGCATGGTTCATCCACATAAGTGAATTTTCCAAATAAATTCCATCACATTCCAATTTTTTAGTGTATTCATTTCAACTAATTTCTATTTTATTAAATGCATTAAAATAAGGCATGTATATGGCTTAAATATCAGTGATGCAGAGAAACTCATAATCAAAATGCCCTCTCCACTTTTTTCAGTCCCACATTCTCAAGAGGTAGCCTCTTTCAACCCTCTTATTAGTTTCTATTTCTGTTTATATTGTTATTTCTTGATTTCCTAGTTTTAGGTATCTGTTGACTTCTTGTGGTAAATGAGAATTGTGCTTTCCTACAAAACCCCTCCAATCTCCACTCCCCATCCTCCCAACAAGACTGTAACATGACTTTGGTTAAATCAATAGTGAATGTAGACATGTTCTTCACTGCTGAGCTAAGCAGTGTGTTATGTGTCCTTATGTTCTGGAAAATATTTATGTTAGTTCTTTGAGAATTCTCTCCCATTTTATCTGTTGGGCCTACTGGATTAACCTTCTAATTTTTAAAAACCTTTTTTTCCCCTCTTATTTACCCTCCTTTTGCCTTTTGGGTTTACTTCCCTGGGAAACCTTCCATGACTATCCTCCAACCCTTCTGTTGATTTTTTTTAAATTTTGGCTTTCTTATTTTTAATATGTCATACTTTCTCATTTTCTGATTGTTCCTTTTTCATAATATTACATTCATATTATATGGATATACTATCTCCCTCTTATCCCTCCGAAGGTATTATTAATTTTTTGCTTGTCCATTTCTTTTGTTTTAATAGTCTTCCATTCTCTATATTGTCTTTGTTTCCACCTGGCATCTCTCTCCCTCTCCCTCTCCCCCCCCCCCCCCCCCCCCCCCCC